ATTAATAATTGTATAATTTTGAATTTCGAAGGTTCAAAGTTTAAAGTATCGAAGCTTCGAATTTCGAAGATTTCAATGCCGATCTTTCGAAACCTTCGAAGGAAATCACCAGCCCTAGTTTGTACATATAATATACTTTAATATGTTTTCAAGCAAGTACTTTTCAATATTTTCCTTCAACTTTTATCTTTCGTATCTATACGAATATTGTACCTCGCGAGCTCGTTTGCATAGATACCAGATGTAAGCTACAACTGGTATCGCGCAATACAAGAAATACAATGCCCACCATCCAGGCTTGTAATTCATCGCTCTCATCATTCGACCCCACAAAGAATCCTGCATATTATAAATTTGCATACTAAAGAATTAATTGTCCATTTTCAAAAGTCAATTTTCAGATCTGACAAGTCGATAGATTTGCACATACATACACATTTATATTCTATATACAATATTATCTCTTCGTGTAACATGTTTTACATACATATTTCCATTGCAAAAATTTATTGTATAGTCATGGGACATGTGGAAAAAAAAAAAGAAAACATCGTTAGATTGCAGACGAAAGGGTACTTACACTTTCCGCAGCAATTTTGACACGTCGAACCTCAAAAGTATCTGCCGCCCATTTCTTTGCAACATTTTCATCGTTTGTCACAATTAGATTGTCGAAATATATGTCAGGAGACATGGACCACAGCTCGAAACCAACAGCGTTCTAAAAAAACATATATTTGTACATGTTATACCTATGATAAATATTTACGTAGTTAAGTAACATATTCCGTTCTTCACATACAATTGGCAACATCTTGAACGGATGTTCATCATTAAAGTAATCAGGATTGTGTATAAGTCTAGGCTTCCATTTTCCCTTGTAATTAGGATTGTTAATGAGCGGCGCCAGCCACTTTCCCTTATATCGCGGATTTTTCTTCATTTTCTGCTTGTACGGTCCGCAACCAGGAACGTCCTCGCACTTTGGATTCGGTACTTCCGGAGCCTCCCATTCGCCATCCATCTCGTTATCCCAATCGTCGGGCTTGACCGAATCTGGATTCGGTATCATGGGCGGCTCGTCCTCGAGCCAGCCCACCGGCATAACGTCCTCCTCGTCGACTATCTGCGCCGGGGCGTCCTCGTCCCAGTCGTCGGGCTTCTCTGCCATCGGATCGGGAATCTTTTCCCGATCGTCCCAATCCTCGGGCTGTTTATCGTCGGGATCCTCTATCTCCAGAGGCGGATTCACAGGGGGCTCAAAATCGTCTAGCAACGAGCCCGAGTTTAGGAGCTTATTATCTACTTTGATTTCGTAAGTGTTATCAGGCCGTACGATCAGTGTATACAAATGCGGCTGCTTATCTTTGAAGTAATCCTCCACTCGGTCCTTAGCTTTCTTACAGTGTTTCTCGGTGATCGTGTCGTTCAGTGGATTCTTATGTCGAAATATAAAATGGACCTGATAAAGAAAAATAAGCATGAATTTAAGATATGCGTATTGTTTTGTCCACTATGTTTTGTCAGTTCACTTAAATTGGGTGTAAAATAAAGGAAGTGCATACCTTGTGATCATTGCCACATTTATCAGGCCCAAACATTATAGTGAATGGTGTTTTATCTTGGAACTGTTTCAAATCACCATGCTTATCTAGCGTAAGCAACTTAAGATAGGCACCACCGCACTCCTGTCCCTCCTGGAAATTAACTTCGTACTGTACAATCAAGGGCTTGTCTTCGAAGTAAAATGGCTTAGTTAATAAAGTAGAAACAGCAGCGTGTCTAGCTTTGCTCTTAAGGACTAATCCTAAATCTCCATCCTCGCCGTGTCTCTTAGGTTCCTCGATGGACCAGATTCCTATAATGAATAACAGAAAGACGATAAAAAAAAAGGTAATTTTATCCAATTTATTTTCATACAAGAGAGGAGAATACAATAATTTGGCTGTATCTATAATGTACTCTTTGCATTTTGTTTCTCGCTTTTCTTTTTATCATCCTTGCCTTTTTGCCTCTTATATCCTGATCCTTCATTTTCGCCCGGGATAAATGTTGACGAACTTCGAAAGAGACAGAAAACATATTGACAAGAAACACGATTGTCGGTAAAACGGTCGCACGAAGGGAAAAAGTCGCAAGAGGTAAAAAGCAAAGAGCACATTGTAGATCCAGCTGAAGAGCGTATACAAAAATTTTATATTAACCATCGTATTTAGCGATATCTTCGTCGATATCGTCCTTCCTCGTCTCCGATAACATCCATGCTTTCCTAAATCTCTCCTCGCTGTCGAAGTGCTCCGCTAGGTGAGCGAAGCCGAAGACCTCCGGGCTTTCGTAATTCGACTTCTGTATCGCATCACTGATATTGTTGTCGCTATTCTTATCCGCATTTAATAACCTACAACACACGCTCAGGCAAACCAACACGATGCACGCTACGATTCTTGCCATTTCTGAATGTTCATATTCCTGAAAAAACAAAAACAAGAAAAAAAAACAAAATTAGATCACCGCCTTCGCCTGATCCATTAATTCACTTAAGCGCGTACTATACGACTTGAAGCAGCACGTGACGAGATGTCGCTAACAACAAAAAGACCAAAAGATTCGCAAAAAAAAAAAATTTAAAGGCGACGAATCATGCAAAACTTAACCTCGAATTCACATACACACACACGCCCCCGCAGACAACGTGGATCACAGCGTGACGTGTAATTTTACATGAATCTTTCGATTAAAATTTGCCCGTATCGCATGGCGATATCAAGAGAGAAATCCCTTTAAAAAAGACACAAAAAAATTCTTGTCTTACCGGTGGTACCAGAGAAAGTCAATTCACCGGATCCTTGGGACGATCGGCACGGCGTAAACGTAAAATGACGAGGCCAGAGGAGGACTGAGGAGGCCCCGGATATACGTGTTATTCAATTATTTAATAACGATAATTTAATCTATCCTCCACGTAAGGGCAGCCCTGCGAGACGCGCTCCGAATAGGAGCGGCGCGTCCGGGAAGTTGCCGGCGAGATTCACGTTAATTTTGGGTAGTGACCCCCCCCTCGCAATCCTCGAGTTCCTCGCACCGCGCTCGACGGGTCCTTCACGTCACCCTCATCACGCGCGCATCCAACGACAGATCGAACGCGACACGACGGGGCGCGCGTAGAACGGGCGATATCCTCGTCAGACACGTTTTAGGGTACCTGCACACTGAACGCGGAAACGCTTGCCGCGCGACAAGACACAACGCGGTAGCCAATAAACTTACAGCTCTTAAAGAAAGATGACACGTCCATTGGCTATCACATCGCATTTTGCCGCGCGGCAAGCATTTCCGCATCCAGTGTGCAGGAGTCCTTAGGCCCGAGGTGGTAAAACCCGTATTAGACTAGAGTCCTAGATCACAGTTTAACCATACACAGTTACGACAGTAGCCGAAATTCTTCGTACAATACTTTACGACGCATGCGTCAACTGTACTATCTAAAACATGGCGATGCCATAAATAATAAATGTATGTTTAGATTAAGGTTATATTTTTATATGATTAGTTATTCTGTGATATTACAA